TAAAAAAAAAAATTAAAGTGTACTATTTTATGATATTTAAAAAATAAGTTAAACATTTCGAAAGGATAAAAAAATATAGAGAATTTTTAAACAAAAACCACTTCTCAAGTGCCACTTTACAAAAATGCCACACTTTTGAAATCTTTACAAAAATACTACTTTTTCAAAATTATTTTTTCTTTATATTATTTATGTTTGGTTTAACTATGTTCTACTAGGATTTAGTTATGAGGGTTTATGAGGGTTTAAGGGTCAAAACATTTTTAGTGTTTAGAATTTTGAGATATAGGGTTTAAAAATCTATAATTAGTGGCATTTTTGCAAACGAGCACCCCTAAAAGGTATTTTTGTAAATGTGCACATAAAAAATGGTATTTTTATAATTTTTCCAAAATTATAGTACGAAATGATAATATTATAATAGATGGCGTAACAGCTATAATTTTAATTGGTAAGACATATATGTAATGAACATAAAAGTATAAACAATTATAAATTATTATACTTGCATTTTAATGAACATTGAAAATGATAAGAGCAGAACGTCACCAGCCAAAGTCGTGTAATGATACATTCGTCTCAGTAATCAAATTCTATTAGCGATTATAATTACAATTGTATCGTTACATGCAAACTACATGCGTGATTATATAATCGCTAATAGAATTACATGCAAAATTGTCCGGAGCCTTGTGGTCAAATGGTTTGAAGACGTTTTGTAGCACCAACACATTTCAAGTTCGATCCACTGCTCCGCGAAATTAAAAATACATTTCTTTGGACATTCACGCGGATATGGACTATTGTTTTCGGCCCTTCGGAGAGAAGATATATCCGTGGAATGCACCTTCCTCAAATATTAGTCTGGACCCCTGTATAGGCATAGCCGCTTAGGATTTATTTTGAGTTATAAAAAAAAAAATTACATGCAAAGTCAATTGTACGGTCGAGATTGTGTCGATGATATGTGTTTGTGTAATTGTGTTTACATAAAATAAAATCAAAAATAAATACTCATGTTATAAAAGTATAAACATTTTCACAAAAAAAAATCATAAATACAAACACCAACAGAATGCAGGCTCATTTAAAAAAAAATTATAGACTAACCAACCATATTTATATTAGCAAAAAAAAACCATAATCATAAAAAATAAGCATTTACTAATTGTAATTTCTTTTTATTTTGATAAAATGTTAAAATTTATTATCCTTTTGATTTTTGGTAAAATGATAAGATAGACTAACCAACAATTGTGTTCTTGCCATGGTCCATTAAAACTGGAGTCTTCATCGTCGTTAGTACGAGCAACCACTATCAGAGGTAAACCTCAAAACCTCGAAAGTAACGGCAGCTACAACTTCTCCGAGTACTCACATAATAACGACACTGTTTCAGCAAACCACGATATAACCGCGCGGCACTAGAGTCTCTACGGGATAGTCAAAGAAGCGCGAGACAAAAATTATAATTAAGAGTATTTATTGATTGTAATTTGTTTGTCTTAACTATTTTACGAATTTTTTTTAAATTTTCGTTATTATGGGGTACGAACATTTGTAAATTTACAATTTTGATCTTGGTAAATTCACGATAGTAGAAAATATACGTAAGTTTTTAAAAGAAAAGGATAGACGACTATTTACTGTATGTGTGTATTTTTTTCTCCTATAAGTTGTTTTTAGAAAACTGAATATGAGATCTAAATTTTAACACATTAATCATACAGTTAATATGATTTTATATCGTTAACTGTATGATCTAAATTTCTTTCTTTTTCTTTTTCTCTTCTTTCCATTTCTCCATACCTGGACTCTGATCTTAAGTTAATTAATTTTATATCTAATTTGGATGAGTCAGCATAATTTTGTGTATTTTATGGCTCATTATGGTATTTTTTTGGTTCAAAATAGAAAATTTGGTATTAAAATGACCTTATGAAG